CTAATCCCCGTTAATTTCCATTACTAACCCGGCATAATTAAGCAGTCTACGAGACTTTCCCTTTCCATCGCGCGCTGCTTCCGCCGGATGGTCACGTCGCTTTATAACAACTTTTTAACTCCGAAACGAAAACATCTCGCTGATTAATGTATTTTCCGGCAGTAACTTTCCAGGTTCTTGAATCCTCCGTATCTTGAGAAATAGAATTTTATCAACATACCAGGTTTTTTTTCTTGAGTTCTTTTATTATCGATTATTAAGATCTCTTAGTTTCTGGATACGCTTAATTATAACGTATTCGTGCAAAGTGGAAACAACAATGGAAATTAATTAAATGCATTGAACAACTTAAAATCGATAAAAAAAAGATTCAATCTTAAAATTCAATTTTGCAATACTGCAATATCGGAGATTAATTCTTAAGCATATTCCTTAATATTCAGAAACGGCATTCTGATAGCATAATCGTCGGTCTATAGGAATTCTTGAATGGGATGTAATTAAAGTTAATTGCGGTGCCGAAAGTTCGTGCTCGCTCACCGGGAAACCTTTCGAAGCCGGAAATTGTGATTTCAATGGAACTCTCTACAGCGACATTTAGGGGTAGACTCTCGGCGATTTGTAATAATTGTTAAATAATAACCCGCGCGTATTTCGATATATAAAGTTGCGCGATGGGGAAATTCGCGCGTTTGACGGATCAAGTTTTTGGCCATATTAGTCGCACGCTTAATTCCGCATTGTGCGGAATTACACATGGGAATTGATTCGTTAAATCTATACTCCGTGTAATGATCAACGCGGCGTGAAATTAGCGCGGGATCGTAATTAAATTAATAACTGGATTACGCCGCGTTGATCCTATAATTATCGTTTACACGCGATAAGGTTTAAAAGCCCGGCTCCAGGAAATCGATGTAATGTGTTGCGATCCCGTTGGGGAGGCGATCTGTAATTAATATTCAATTATCTTTAACATATTGCAAGATTAGACGGCCCCTTCTATCCGATCCCTCAATTCTGCCACATTCTTCCCTTCCGATAAACACATAAATAAGAGTATCCAATCATGAATAATGCAGAAATAATGCACCTTTGAAATTACGACTAAATAATTTTTACTATATTACTATAATTTTAAATATATATAATACATTAATTGTTACATTATTAATTTTATAATTTATAATTACAACGCATCCGCTTATTAAATATATATTATTAAAATTGCTTATTTGATTTATTATATTTTATTCTCTTAATACGCGATTTAAAAACGTAATATCCACACGTGTTATTAAATTCCGTTTAAAAAATTAATCTGCAAATTGGTACAGCAAAACCTATAGGGAAATTATACAAAAACTACAAGAGGGTTTTAAAATCAAAGTATACAGAAAAATTCACTTGCATACAAAAATATTAAAAGCCGAATATGCGCATAACGTTCCAACGTGAATTTGTGTGTCACTGGAACTGCAAACCACTACTGCTAGAAATGCCAGTAAACTATTTTTTCCCACTTCTTTTTTTTTAACCTGTCTCGAAAATTTACTGTCGCTGAATCGTGGAAGTGCGACAACGATAACGTCGCGCGCGATGCAAAGATCGCTTGGATTGGAAAACATACGCGGGTGTAGGCTTTTGCCATTCAATATCGAAATAGAATTTAATGTGTAACGGAGAAAGACGGGAGAGAAAGGGGGATGGAAGAAGGCGATAACACGCGGGAATCGCTCTTCAACCCCCGATAAATCATCTCCCGCCATGTTTAATGCAGCTTTTTCAATTGTCCTCGGGGTCACGTATTCACGCCGTAATTCCTTCCTATACCGATTTACAGTCTGAAGATACAACCAATATCCATTTCAATGCAACACATGGAATTTCTTGTATCATAATTTTACTTCGTAATTAAAATGGAAAAGAAAAATAATAAAATATTAATGTAACAGGTAACAGTAGATTAATTATATTACATATTAAATGGAAGTAAAATTGACACACCGCGTAATTATAATTAATATTAAAGACTTTTAAATCATCACGAATCATATTTCGAAATTCCGAAATCTAACTGAATCAACCTCTTTCCGGCTTGAATCGGGTAACTGGGATCACAACAAAATCTTTCGCGGGATCAGTGTGTAGAAAATAATGTTGAGAGAGGGCAATGGCGGGACCAACGAGTGGGATGGAGAGGCGGATTGCGCGAATTCCGCGGCCTGCAAAGCGATTTATGGGAAACGAACGCGGGCTATAAAATAACACTTCCCATTCAAATCGGCAAATTAATGGTCGTTTTCGTGGATTCTTTGTTTGGGCGGCGCGCGCGCGACAATGGCGGGTAGCTTGCTGAGTTATTATCCTGAAATAGTACAAAATTTTAGGAATGCCAATCTTCGTGAATTCTCGTCCATTTCGGCAGATAATTTTCCTAACCGATAGGACATGTTTCGATATCCCAGAACGACAGATTACACGCCGCCGCGCCGCCCACGTCCGAAATTGAATTGATGTTATACTTTTGGAGTATATCCGGTCCCTCGGAGTAGAGCAAAGATTGATCGGCTTGCCTAGGCTTCGAAACTATTATCTAGTTTAGATACTTAAGTCCGCGCGGAAAGTTACTCCCCGCGAGCTTTAATCTCTCTAAGCACGAGGTGATTATAAAGTTTCTTATTAAGTTCCCGTGTAGCACACCACCACACGCGTACACTCGAGCCGCCATTGCGATACACGGGTGAAAAACTTTGCCCGGGTACTCCGGCTATATGTAACTCTCAACAAGGAGAAGAAAATGCGAAAGTGCCCCGCCGTAGTATTAGAACATGTTTCCTACTCTACATGAAACGTTATATAGGAAAGAAAAGGGGAGCGCATTTACATTTAAACGCTGAAACAGGCTTGGACAGTTTAAATATCGTTTCTTACAGTAGTAAAGTTCATCCTTTTATTACGTATTCTGCATTGTACTTCATTTTAATCTATTTTGTAATTATTTTCATTTTTCATCGTATTTTGTTTAAATTTTTACTTAATTTTATTTAACCTTTAAGTGCGCGGTTTTGCATATATGCAAAGCGACTTTTCGAGAGCTTCGTGCACTTTTGCTTATGAAGTTCGAACTGAAAACGGGTGGCTTTGCACGTCTATAAAAAGCCTTCTGGATGGAAAAGTCTAGAAGATCATTTAAAGGTTAAGTCATCATATTTTAAGTTTACTTTAAGATCTCACAAACTGCATAGGTTTATATTAAATTTTCACATTGCGATTAAATCTGTTTTTATCGGTTTTTATATTTTCTATAATCTCTATTCTATTTTTTTTAACGAGAATAACACAATCCGAATCCCATCTTTTATTAAAAAAACCTATAACATGTAACGCATGCATCATATGTTGACATCAACATGTCCCGCTTTATATTTGTCCGATTAAAAAGACTCGTGTAAACTTAATATCCCATACCGGGATTAATGTACTCGCGGAAAATACGGCGAGAGAGAGCGAACTGTCGTCGTCGAGCAATGTCGATAAAAGGTAGACGAAGAATTGACGCGGATTTCTTCGGCTACGTCCGTTATGCAGAAGAAACGAGAAAAAGACTGTGCACAAAGAAGCTCGCCATCTTCGAGCCCCTCTTGCCGAGGGATCGCAAGATAATTGGCTGATTTAACGAGATCACATTCACGACGAAGGGATTCGTGCCGCGGTAAAGAAAAGCGCGTATTCTTCTTTATGGTGACTTCCGTCAGGAAACGCACGCGGTTATCTCAAAATATATCATCAACCGTTGAATGTCGCAGTTTAACTGCAAAATAGAAGGTAAATCTAATATAAATTCCCGAGAATATTGAAGTTTAATTTAATAAAAAATCCGCAAATCTCTCAGTTTTCATTTTACGTTAATCCGCGGCGGGGAAGAAAAATTGTGGATTCCCCATTATAATATCTTTCCTCCCATATGCACACGAGCTGCAAATACGACGCTTGGATACGGTATACTTTATGCAAAACGAGTGTATTCATCGCGCGTTTAAAAACGCAATTAACATCTTAAACTCGCGAATTACGTTGATTCGTGGGAAAGGAAGGATCGTTAGCTTTCGCGCCCGGAAGCGGTGATATCAACCGCTTTCACGGTCACAAAGCGCGAACGTGGAAGCGCTTGGACGCGACACTTTGCCGCGCGAAATGGGATGTCCATCGCGTTGTTGTAATTGGACGGAAGTAGTATTTTACCGATGCGTTTGCTGAAGGCAATGCAAAACGCTGACGGGTCGGCGCGCTCTCACAACTTGACTCAATAACAAACGCCCCTCCCTCCCCCCTCCGCGTAACTATTGTGTTGATTACAAGTTTACAGGGCGAAATAAAAAAAAAGAAGAGAACCGTTATATTGCGCGCGTTACGATTTGCACAGGTAAATTGGATATCTGGAAAATAAACTGCGTCCAGTGCGGGGGATTATCTGTCCACGGATGGACGCGTTTATCGGAATCCCTTTCTGCGGAAAATTGTATGTACTGATAATAGAACCTTTATCCTTCAAATCTTTTTTGCGTTTGATTTCCGTCCGAGCTGAAATGTAATCTACAGCTTGATTACTGTAGTTAGAATGCGCGTGTCAAAGGCCGCAGCTTCAAAGCAAATGATTCTAGTGTAATCTATGTGTCTGTTTAATTTCTCATAATAAATACGCTGTTGACGATTGAGAAAACGTTTTTATCAAAAACGTCACAGGGAATAAAGTAAATTTGCATTTCAAATTTTAAGTGCGCTATGTGCTGCGCTGCTGCACTATTTGCAGCGCAAATACTCTAAATTGGTCAAGTTTGTGTTCCCAAATAACTATCTAATTATCTCATTACCTATATACAGTTAAGTATCTTTATTTTCTATTTTAAATTGTTTCAACTATCAATTCTAAATTATTCGCATGGACTTCTTCGGTGATTCTTTCGCTTCAATGTAAAAAAGAAAAAATTAGAAGTTACCTTGGACCGGCGCGTAAATGTTGAGGTACAGGCAATCCTCGCTTTGGTTCTTAAGGTAGGGCAGCAGCCGCTTGAGATACTCTGCCCTGCCTTTGGGCATCTTATCGCTGATCTCGGGCAGCTTCTGAGGGCAGACGGGCCCGAACTTGTCGGCAACCTTAACGCCCTGCCAAAGGGCACCGGTGACGGGCGGCATGAAGCGTAATGAGCCGGTCGGCGGCGAGGCGTAGGGCACACCGCGGAACACCTCGACGCCCTCGAGGTATCGATCGAGGGTAACGATCACGCCCGACAGCTCGCCGTACTTAGTCCTGACGATCCTCGAGGTCAGCTCGGCACCGACGGTCGCCAGGAACAAGCCGAGCAGCGCCAGGATCGACGACATCATCTTGACGCGATCACCGACGTCTTCGGCGTCACCTCCCTTCTGCTTCGGCGTCCTCCGCACCTCCGCCGATCACTTTTTTGCCGCGCCGACGTCTCTCATACTCTTCCGTCTCCCTCGTCTCGCACCGCTACTACTATTTCCGTCTTAACCGCCGCCAGAGGTGCGGATGCACGTCAACCGATCCATCTCGCGGCTCTCAGAGGCTCGTCCGCCTCCTGGATGCATCAATCTCCTTCAAAGTGAAGGACAGTTCGATGACTGTTAGGCTTTACTTGGCTCGATCGAGGTACTTAAGATGATCTCGACTGGAAGTGTACAAGTTGGTGAAGTTTCTTACAATAGCTTCTTTGGTAGCTCAAGATCATGGACTTGATTCTATTTAGTAATTATACAACAAAACTATTGTCTTTAGATATTCCTGAGCTCAAACGATGTAAGAAACTAATGAAAACGAAGTGGATTTAGTTAGAATTTTTCCAATATGTTGATCTGATGAGATTACTATAGTCTCAAACTACATTCTTTTATCTGAATAATTCGGAAAAAGAAATAATTGCGAATCATCCTTAATTATTTTTGATGCAATTGACCTAAGGAAGACTGCAGCTTAATAGATTGGGAAATATCCTGAGTTAGATCTTCCTAGGAGAGTCGCAGAGATTGTATATGTCGTGTATTAGATTTCTTCAGTCGTATATTTAAGTAGATATTTAGAAATGTTGAAGAAGTTCAGACAATCCATCGACGCGGTGACAGAGACCAGAAAATTCTCCTTTTAAACGTCATCGTTATCCTCTAGACTTAATTATTATCAGCTTCACGCTATAAAGTTGCAAGTTTTAACGATCTCCGGATTCACTCTCTCTCTCTCTCTCTCTCTCTCTCTCTCTCTCTCTCTCTCTTGTTTTTATTTCACTAAACAATAGAGATTTTCTACACATAGAAAAGATCGTCGTAAATTTACCATTGGACGTCTAGCAAGAACAATGAGTGAATTATTTATTTATACACTGTCAGAAACTTCTGTAGGTATAACTTTACACTTTTCCGCGATAGACTGCAGCATCTAGATCGGAACTTCCGGTTTAAAACAGGATCTCTTCACATCCACGTAATGTAACCTTGTCCTTTAACGATTCTCCGCTCCTCACTCACGTCTGTTGATATAAAAGTGGTTCACACGCGTCTTATCGTTCACACAAAGACGATCTCGTTTCTGACGGTGTGTTTAATGTATCGCAAGAGATAGAATACACCGGTTCTAATCACGTTCGGAAGCGGGCCGCTCTTGGTATATTTACCCACTCGTTTCATCTCGGCGAAAAAAAAGAAAGAGAATACAAAAGAAATAATATCCCAATCTCTCATTCAAGATTTCTTTGGACGGATTAAAGATAACGAGACTCGTTGCACCTGGCTCTCATCTCGTGTGATTCATCGAACTAATCTCCGCGATCGAGTCAATTCGAACATTCACTGATTTTTCAGCGGCACGATCTTTTCTTCAAAGCCAATTCGCTCGAAAAAAAACATACGGGCGAGGAAATTGACGTTGTTCCGGTTTTCAATTCTTGGAAAAAAGCAAAATGTACCTACGCGCGGAACTTTTTCGCATTAAAGAATTTTAGATTTCAATCCTTTGCAATCAATAAACGTGGAATTGAAAATCCGTCAGCTGCCTCGGCTTGTTTGACGGCTTAAAGAGATACGTGCGAAGATACGCGCTCACCGTGTGAAATAAAAGAAGCATCCAGGAAGAGCTTAGCTTGTTGCGTTCAAGAAGAACGTCACTCTTTATATTTAAAGCTTTTCAGTATCTTCTAGGCATAAAACGCAACTCTTCCCAGGCAATGTGACGCTATTCTCGTTGAGTCGACAGCTTCAATTTTCAATTAACCTAGTTAGATTAAAATCGCACCACTAAGCAGCTAATTTCCCTGCGAATTTCTAGGTATAGACACTCGTAGACTGCAGAAACCAAAATTTAGGATTATCTTTGATTACTCCATTGTATTCGCACTTTCCTGACCGATCACTGAGTAATGATCTCCGCGATCATCGGCACAACACTACGACCAGGATAGAGTCGCGCACGCGATCATCGTTCTTTCATCGCAACGGGTCAAGCACTATCGTACGGGATTCCGTTCTGCACATAGCTTCGCGACGGGCACCCACCCCCTCACTCTCCTCCGCCCCTTTCCGGCGTCCCGCGCCGGCACCCCGTATCCGGAGTATTTCTTCAAACTTCGCCGAGTTGGGAAAATCGTTTTCCCGATTGGACCCGATTTATCGGATGCGTCAAAGTAATTTTAAGTTTCGTCGAACTGACCGTTGCAAGCTGGAAGCGGCAACCCCCTCACGGCACAACTACTACCCCCGCGAAGCTAACGAGAGAGAGGCGCACCGAAAAATCCGTGAGGAAGGTGGGTAGTGAGATCGTAAACGGCCATCCTCGAGTTTCTTCTCTTCGTCAAGCCACTCCGGTTGCAGCGAACTACCACCCACCCTCTGGCACACTGCACCGTCGACGTCGATGCACCTTGGTCGATGCACCGGGACGAATCTCGCGTGACGTGAGATTGAGGGGTGGGTACACGGTGTTACCCGTGAGAAAGGGTGAGAGCGCCGCTGGGACGCCGTGGTATGCGACGAAAACCAACCGAACCGATGTAGCCGACACTTCGACCCCCGACAGACTGGCGTCAGGCGACGACGTTCGCTATCGGCTGCGCATGCCCTCCGCGCAAACGCTCGGGGACTCCGGTACAGGACATGGGCGCGGAAGTGCACCCCCGCGACGCGTTGGTCGATACGGCAGGAGGGATCGATCCTCGAAACCGACCAGCGAGAGTTGTTGGTTCGAGTCCGGGATTGCGAAAACGCTTATTACAGTCGTACTTTTGGCTTCGTCCGAGACCGTTCCCTCTCGTTGGACCTTTCTCGTCCTTTTCGAGTTATCCATCGCTATATTGGCTTCTCTCGCAGTCGTCTTTAAAGGATATTGTACGTTTAAGCGATTAAGCCAATAATCGCTGCATTAGTATATCGATTTTTCCTAACGGTTTCTTTTCACGACTCGTAATTACTTCTCTTGTCATATTATTGAGTCAAATATAAAATCTTATTGTATTAGTCGCTACTCTAACTTGATTTAAAATTACTTCTTTTGTCTGGATGTTTTATCTTTCCATTTTGTTCTTCACTATTGATCGAATCCCGTTATATTCAAAAGAATATTTTATTTATAACTGTACATGCATATATTGAGGATACTACACTTTTTCTATTGGAAAACATGTTTTTTGTTTTCTTTACATTTAATTGATTATCAATTTTTTCATCGCTGTTGACGGTAAGGCATGCAAATTACTTAATTTTAATAATTTATATACTTACTTACCATCATTATATAACAGTTTTAATAGTTATATTTTAAATATAATGCAGCGTGTAATACATATTTTAAGTGAATGTCAATAAATATGTTTTACAACCATCTTTTAATTTCATTCACATGTAACGTTTAATGAGTAAAACGCTCTCATCAGTCCATCGCTATCATTTTAACCAAATTATATAGCGAAGCTTATTTATTATATTAATTGATAATTTCTATTACTTTATTAATTACACAACAGATATTATCACATTAAATTGATTACCGCAAAATATTTCATTCTATGATTACCTAAAGCAATTTTTATAATAATTTAAAAACACTCTCCGTGCATATAAATTACTTTATTATTTTTAAAAACTCTCTCTCGGCCTGAGAAATTAATTAACTGCAAAAAAATACACGGGCAAGTGAGTCTGTTAGTTCTGTAAATCTCAACAAATTAGTGATTACTAAATCAATGCAGAATGTAAATGTCAGTCGATAAATAACGACATAATTAATTAGCGGGATTTATTTGACAAGCTCGCTTGCGCGCATAAATCGTGCAATTTTGTAGTAGCTCGCAGCAAGGAATTTGCGATGGACATCGGGAAATCCCCGGAAAACGGGTGAAATAAAGGAAGTTTTTAACGAGAATTTCCGGAAATCTGGGCGCAGCTGCGCAAAGAGTTTCTCCTCGCAAAAATTCCACTTCGCTCCCGCATTCAACATCGCCTTCGCATTTTACCGCGTAGTTATGCTCGTTAACAAACTCTTTTCTAACGCGGAAGCTATAGGCATTATCTCGCTGAATTATTTCTCGCTTCGCGGAAAATCGCGCGCGATTGAACGAATCTTTTAGAACGTTAGTCTATGAAGCGTAGCGTTATATTTCTCGGTTCTCATCGGGTCGTCCTGTAGTGTCTTATTTAACTTTACACACCATTTTACTTATTATTTTTCTACGGCATTATTACAATTTATATTAAGAATTGTAATTTTTTTTATTTTCCTCGACTGAAAAAGGTCCAATTTCCTGAGAACCTTCCCCGTGGTAAAAAATCAGAAACAACTTTCTCACTAAGGCAGATACGAAGAATAATTGGACGGAGAAGTGGCTAAAGGATAAGCTCGGGGAGTGGGAGTGGTTAAATATTTGCAAAGTCAACGTGAGGGGCGCTGTGCCACCTCTCGAAGAGGTGGAAATTGGCCGCCTCCGGCCACAAAGACGCCCGAGCGGAAATCCGCGCCGAGAACGTCTTCTCGTTTGCGACACAAGGATGCAGCGTCTTTCCAGAATTCTCCGTCCATACAAGAGTTCAAGGATGCCGTTGAAATTACAAACACGCACCAATCTAAAATCTCAACGATGCAACGAGTCTGACTGAGAACTAACCTAACGATATAAAATTATTTATTAGCGAAGGAGCGAAGAGACTTAGAAATTAAGATTCTTCTATCTGCAGCGTAAAGAATTCAAGAATTTTAATATATTCAAAAAGGTAAAAAAATAAATAATGGAATATTATAATGGAAAAAATAAAGTTTTATTGAAGTATCTAAAAATTTAGCTCGAAAAGAGAAATAGACTACCTCTAAAAATAATTATATCAGATATTCAAGCTGCTAGAATATCAAAACTCCTTGCAACATTATCATCACGCTTGAGTGTCCTACATAATTATTTTCAAATATGTATCTGGCTTAATTTTTATGTACTTCAACAAAACCATTATTTTTGCACAGAAAATCAATTACCACACATTCTAAAATCTATAAACATAAAAAGTTACCCTAAAAAATGAATAAAGAGATAAAATTTTTAAAGTCTAAATAGTGTAGTTCATTAAATTGACTTAGGCATGTAGTAATATTTATAGCAATAACACATATTAAGATGCCTAAACAATAATAAGATCGCATTTAAATAATAAGATGGAAACACCGATTGGGAGACACCAGTCGAAGAATAATTCAATCGGTGTTTCCATCTTATTATTTAAATGCAATCTTATTATTGTTTAGTGTTATTGCTATAAATATTACCACATGCGTCAGTAATCGAATTGGTACAACACCCTTCGCGGAATAAGAAAGGTTCTAGGTTCGAACCCTGGCTGAGGCAATAAAATTAAATTATTTAATACAATATATATAAACTTCAAAATTACATCAATTTTAAAAGGACCAAAACCCACTGTCAAAATGTCTTGACAATTATCTGACTAACCAATGGTGAAATTGTCAGGACGATGATTTATATATTCGTCGCCAGTTAAGTCGATTTAATGAATCTGTTAGTTAATTCATCACTAGCAATATACAATCTATCTTTGTTATCTAAATAGTGTGTTTAATCAATCAAGAAAGGAAGTTGATTGTTCTTGGTATTTGTTAAGGTGTAGAATTCCTCTGAATAAGTGTTACACCTGTAAATTCTTCTAAGAACTTTTGAAACTTGACAGCTAAAACTTCCAACATTCAATTTCTTTAGTATATATAAAAATCTAAAAAATAAAGTGTCTTTGTCACAGAGAAACGTTATTTTTTAAAATCAGAATTGAAAGACATATTAATCACAAAATACTGATATCCCGACATTGGAATTGTTCGATCAATGATCAATATGGCCGGTTTGTTCGCTGTAAAATAAAAAGGAAGATTTGCGAAAGGAAAATGACGTCTCTTTGCATGGCGCGGCATAAGAGGTCTTTAGAAAAGGACTCGAGACAAGGGTGTGACGCGAGAAATTCGTGCCCGGACTGCCGAGCATTCAAATCCAAGAAATCGATGCCGCTTTTCGTGCGACAGAAACGGCGAATCCTGGGATTCGTCAGTGACTATGAAAGTCGGAACTTGCAAGGACGAGTGTTCCGACCATGCAATTCCGTTTCCCGGGACGTCATACATAAATTTGAGGGGATCGGTAGAAGCGAAAGTTTGGAGGCACAACTAAACTAGAGTAACCAACGAGGGCGAAATACAAGACGTATTGTGGATTATAGTAACTTTTCGTGATAACTTTTAGTTATTAAATTGAGTAAATTGACAGTCAGGAAAGCAGTGGTGTTTGTTCTTTTTTTAAATTAAAAAATTGAACTTTTTTTTATTTAGCGCATCCTCCGTGTTTGGCATTTGGAAATCAATAAGAATCGTTGACGTTCGCCCACAGAATGAGAAATTTCATTTTGTCGTGGAACGTAATCCGAGGTTAGAGGAATTCGAGAACAGAATATACGGTACCACCGGATGCAATTTCAATCCTGGGTCGTCGGTTCAAAATTTCAGGACAAAGAGCACTTAGGTATGCGACCGTTGGAACGAACTGTCGCTACTTTCGCGAAATTTTATTTGTTTGTCGCAATTTTTAAATAAAAAACCAAGAAGCGTAAATAAATAAAAAGAGCGCGCGTCGCGTATTATTATTCATAAAAATTGCTATATAACACCTATTACAAACGTAATCCAAAGCGCGGTATTATGCATTGGTTGCATTGCGCCGCATGCGTTATGGAATCCGCGGGGAAAATCGCGCGTTTTATTATTTCGCGGTTTTTTTTACTTCCACCGCGCGCGAAATTCTTTCGGTAAATTGAACAAATTGCACTTTTATGAAATTCTTCCTTCGAAACTTTGGTATAGATTCTAGAAAATTGTATTCGCCGGGTCTCCACGCTTCGAAAGCACAGCCGGAAATCTATTTTATTTTACATATAATTTTTAATTTCCCCAGATTATTAGATCATATTTTTACATCTGTCTGTTTAATTTTTAGTAAAAATGCTTCAAGACTTTTACGAGATTTTGCTCGAGAAAAAAAATTTTAATACCTACTCTATCCTTGTATACAGAGGTTATATAATAACTATACGCTTATCACTTCTAACAGGCGCGTTTAATGTTCTCTGCGCGAAAAATCGTTAATTTTGCAGCTGCAACTGCTGCGGAACATTTAATTACTCCGCACGCGTCCCACATAAGTTCAACGCTGAAGCGAGGTTGATGACATTAAATTCTATTAAGAGGGCTCCCCATTCGTATTTTCCGTGAGCTTAATGCGCATATTCATGACGGTTCATCGCATCGACGGGTATTAAAAGCGTTAAAACTGTGCACACACAAACGGAGAAGGATTCTCCGGACTTTTTAACTATTCGACAATTGCATTTTTCTTCCAAGATTTTTTACAAACATTATACTTTCTGATTTGGATTTGATCATTAGATTGACATTTACGTAAACCTGTGCAAAATTTATTTGCAATTTAAAAATTTTGATTTATATAATATTATAGCAAATTATACTG